ATATCATGCTTTACAACTACTGCACTTACAACTCTGCTAAGTGATGGCTGCTCCACTTACAGGTTATGTAGCTCTGTACAGCCTGAAGCCTACAGTTCTCAAGGTGAGTGACAGCACAGGCCTCACTACTTGCAGTAACTGGGAATTTGAATCCCAGCACCAGGGTTCAGAATATGGCCCTCACTAGGGAGGGATGTGCAGAGAATGAAAGTGTGAATGCTGATTATAAAGTATTTGTATGCCTGCAACACTGATATTGAAACATCCATACAGAACTGCAGCCTGTACTCTGTCAACTAAAGTGAAGGAACCATAGCTGGGGCTGTACCCTGGAGACATGTAGATGTGCTACGTTATAGAAATCAGAGGTTCCATTACCAAGCACTGAAAAACAAAGAAAACCCTCTTTCATGGTCAGAACCCAGAACTAACCACATTTATATATAAGATAAAGACCATCGTGTATCACACACATAACACATACGGATACCTAGCTTGGCAGGGTGCTACTGTGACCTCACTATTTAAGTCCGAAACCTCAGTAAAGAATTCATGCTTGTCTTCTGCTAGAGGTTTAGATTCAGCTAGCCCTTCCAGCACTATTTGTTTTTTGTGATCATATAGGTTTCCCTTCCATTTCTTGCTTACATTTGTTAAGACTAGGTAGATCACCTTTTTCAGCACAAATCTCAATTCCAACTTCTGCAAATCCTCTACGGCTCATCTGCCACATTTGACTCATCTGCCCTAACCTGCTCTCTGGCTATATCTCTCCAAGCCTGTCTTTTTTCTTCTTTCTCCAGCATGACACTGAATTCTGCCCAGATTTAACATCACTGACCAGGTAGTTCATTTATTCCTTACAAACACTAGTAAAGTGCTAGTCAGACTGAGCTCCCAGCTGGAAGTTGTGTGTCTGCACGGAGTAAGGCAGAAAGGAGTCCCTGCAGCTAGTGGATAAACTTGAGGTGCACACAGAGTTAATATGCTGACAGAAATACTGAGGTTTACATCTGAAAACCCAAATATAAAAATAATATGATGAGTAAGACTAAAATTCCCTGTTCTGAGCTTCCATGGGGCCAGCTCCCCTCCTCCCCCCTGCTTCAGGGCTCAGCAGTCACTTCTCCTTTTCTGCTGTGCCTTGCAGAAATGTCTCCTGGGATGAGTCAGAGCACGACTTCCAGGCAAGAGTGTTACTGCCTTTGGCGCCCACCAAACAATAGGCAAAAGTGCCTACAGCTGTGGCCTCTCAGCTCCTTTCACACACTCACACTCCTTTCACACACTTTCACATTCTCTCTCTGATTTACTTTTTACCCCTTGATGCTGTTTTTTTTCTTCTCAACCAGGGGATCATAGAAAACATTAGGTTGGAAAGGACATCTGGGAGGTCAGTTTGTGAGACTCCTGCTCTCCTGCTCAAAGCTTCACAAACAGATCAGGTTGCTCAAGGTCAAGGCCAGCTGAACTGCTGAAAATCTCCAAGGGATGTCGCAGAAACCTTGGACATCTCTTTGAACGCCTAACCAACTTAACTGGGAAGAACTTTTAAAAATCTTTCTGCCCTGTCCACATTCATGGTCTGCCCCTGTTTCTCTGCTTGCCTGTGACCTATCTGTCAGTGCTTAACATCTTATCTTACACTCAGCCCTCCAGAAATGTTTTGATGAGACCTCTCTAGAGACTTTGCTGAGGCTCTGGTACCTTCCCTTTGCACTTAGTGTGCTTTCAGGACACCATTCATGTCCCACCCTCTTTCTAAAGCAAGCTTCTGACTACGAAACAAGAAAGAATATACTTAAGATGATCCTGGGTACAGAGAGCACTATTAGGTGTCAGGAAGCATGAATTTACTAAGCCACTCTGACCCCTTTATTAGCAAGTTTTGTGGTGGAACTTCATATACCAAAATGTCTTCCTAGGGAAGACTACCCCCCCGCGGTGCAAGAGAGCCAGGTTCCTCTGCAGGGCCCACCTCCTTCAACCAGAGCAGATGATCACCAAGCTTTCTGAGACACTCGAGGTCTAAATCCCACTGAGGCTGTGCCTGGCTGTGCCTGAAAGGTTTCTCATAGCGCTGGAGTAACTGGGGGAAGATTTAGCGCTATCCCGAGTCTCTGGTTGTTTGTGTCCTGTTTGTGTCCTGCCAGCACAACACCTCGTCCTCTCATGGGGAGAGACCACCAGCGGTACAGCAGCACCAACCTCCTTCCCCAAACCCGACTGGGCACACCAGGGACAGGTACAAGGATGGCAGAACAAGCCACTGACCGGCTGTCGCTGTCAGGTGCCACTAACTGTCCGCGGCGTTCAGGTGCCTTACCAAGGCCACTCACGTGGTGCCACGCTTGGATTTAGTTGCTTGTGACCAGTCGCTGTGCGAAAGATCGTATCTAACCTAGCAGGTGTGTCACTTTCCCGTCCCGACGCCTGTGGAATTCCCTGCTTCCCCGATGGAAGACGCTCGGGGAGCTCCCCGCGGATCCCGGCGGCGCCGTTCGGCGGGCGGGCAGCGCCGCCCCGCGGTGCCTCCGCACAACTGCAGCTCCAGCGGCAGCAGGAGGAGTGATCCCGAGCCTGTGAGCTACTGCTCCAGACGCCTCAAGAACCAATCGGCAGACTGAGCATAACTGATTTTCCGGGTTTCCTTTTATATTTATTCAATTTTTCTTTTTCCCCAGACGGAATACTCTAGACGACTTTTTTAGATGGGTGACACAGACAATTTATCAATCGAAGTAGATTAAAAGATAATAGTAACAATAAAATCGATCTGTACATAACATTTGTCATTATTTGACTAATACTTTTGAGTGACAATTTTCAGTAACCAAATAATTTGACAAAAATATTTGCCATGCTCCACGGCAAATATCTCTTGGCTTTTATGGACACATAATGCATCAGCATTCAGGGGCCATGCATGAGGTGTACCCTATGTCTTCATGGGTGCCAGTGAATGATAATGTGGGTTTTTTGTTGGTTGTTGTTTGTTTGTTTGTTTGTGTTTTTTTCCCCTGGAAAGCTGTCTGCCTTTCCCCATTCCTGCAAGAATGACACAAGAAACCACAAAGGTTGTAAACAAGAGCGAGCGTTTGAAACATCCAAGTAAAGACATTAGGGAGGCAAGAAAATCAGTTATAAGTCAAAGAGAACTGAATATATAGTGTCTGGTTTTGTTAGTCTACATTTAGAAGTGATCTGGTTTTGGTTTTTTTCCCCATAGCTGAGGAAACAATTCAGTAAAGAATACAGAAACCTAAATGTCATTTTCACTTAAATCATGTTGAAGTGGTTCTGTGGCTTGGGGGAGGCAGGAGAACATTCCAGATCCCTGCTCCAGTTGTGACTAAATACCAGATTTTGGACAAGACATCTGGACTCTGATTTTTCCATACTGATCTCTAGACTATCACTGAAAATTCAATACACAGCCACCAACCGTGTAAAAGCTCTATTTGATGTACAGCGTACTAGCAGCTGACACCTGATGACATGAGTTCCTGAGTGAGCATTTCTGCCAGAATTCTTCCTGTGCTGACTTATGGTAGGTTGTCATAAAAACAGAAAGTCTTGAAGTGAATTCCTACATCGCTGAAGTCAAAAGCAAACTCCCACACATTTCTCTGAAACCATGGTACCAGTATTGATTGCAATAGTTGAAGTTCTCAGCGTGGTTTGGTTTACCTGAGGAGATACCTATTGTAAGTGTGACAATCATAGCTATGATCCATTGGCACAGGGAACTATGTCACTGGAGCAAGGCTCAGGAAGGCTTATGATAGTTATTCAGGCAGTAGGAAAGCAGCTGTGGAAAGCAGCTGTGGAACAGAAGAACCATAGATTGTACAATCTGAGAACAAGATGTAAAATACTGTTTCTTTAAAAAGTTTGCTTTCAAAATTGAGCTTTCTATATAAACATTCTCTTTGCATGTGAGAAAGATACAACTTATCTTTAACTGCATTTGCAGTGCCGTAGCCTGTGGGACTGTGCTGCCACTACGTGAATGCAGAAAGCCATTGCAGATGACTGTGGCTGACTTAATTCCTAACTCCTGCTCCAGGGCATGACATTGGTATGATGTAATGGGACTAGGGTGAAACCATAGAAAGAAGAGTCGGCATCAGCACTGCCTCCTTGGGGAACGGAACTCATTCCAAAAACTGAAGTGAAGAACAAGTTCTGTGTCTCAGGGAAGATGGTAAGAGGTGGAACTAAAAGGTACATCAGTAAATTTTGGAAAGTGTCTATATTGGAAACAATATAGCTCCAAACTAGCTTGGCTTGTACAAAAGTAAATCTTTATTCTCCTCCGACCTAGTTTCCTAAGCACAAGCAGTTTCTGCAAATCTCTGTAAGAACCGTGTGTGTTCTCAACCACTTAACGGTCAGGACACCAATGCTTATGGAGCTCTGAGGTTACAGAGGTATCATCACGAAGGTTGTAACGAACGTGCGAGGAGGAGGCAAGTATGTTTAAAAGTCATTGTATCTTTTAAAAGCATTTCTAGGCTCAGCCCTAGAGGAGGCTGCCATTCTTTTTTCTGCTCTAACAACTTCCAGAAATTCCGCTCAAAAACCGGTTTCCACTGTGCTTGTCTCTACACATCTGTAGCCCAAAGAATTTATAATCCATTTAGAGAGATTAAAAAACAAAGCGAACATCTCTCGGCCGGCATGTTCCAGAAGCGCAGGTCTCGCACAGCGGGCGCGTTTCTGCCCCAGCAGCCCGCACTGGGGACGTGCGCGGACACTTCGCTGTGTTCCCAGGGACTCAGTTTCCGCCGGCTGGCCGTGCCCCCGGCATCCCGCTCCCGCCCCGCCGGGGGGCGGCCGGAAGCGGGAGCGCGGCGGCGGCAGGTCCCGGCGGGGCGGCGGCGCTGGTGCCGGGGAGGCCGGGACCGACGTGGCCGGCCGGGGGAGGCGGAGCCGAGGGGCCGCCGGGCGGGGCAGGCCCGCGCCGAGCCGCGGCTGGATGGCAGCGGCGGCCCGGGGCACGGCGGCGGCGGCGGAGCGCGGTAAGGGGCGGGTGGCGGCACCGGGGCGGCGCGGTCGGGGGGCCGCCTTCGCTCCGCTGTTGTGGGACGAGGGGGCAAGGCGGGCGCGGCAGTGCGGCTCAACTGCGGCGGGACGGGGAGAGGGGAGCTGGCGGCGGGACGGGAAGGGACGGACGGGACGGGACAGGGTAGGGTAGGGTGAGCGGTGGCGACAGCGCAGTGTACAGTGGAGCTGAGCTCGGTTCTGGCGGGGCCCGGCCCGGCCGAGCGCGGGGCAAGTTTGGGAAAGACGTGGCGGGGAGCGCCTGGCCGGGCCGCTGGTTCCGGCAGCCGTGTCCCGGCCCAGCGGGACCGTGGGCTGCGCGCCACCCGCCCCAGGGCCCCAGCTGCCCACGGGCTCCCGGAGCCGGCGTCCCCACGGTCCAGCCCGCCTTTGCGGGAGTGCCCGGGGCTGGAGGCAGCCGAGAAAGTTTTGGAAGTCTCTCCTCTGGCAGATGATGCCGCGAGAGGGTCTCGGGCAGGGGGTGCCCCGCGGGACGCGCGGAGCGGGGGGGCCGGGTCTGCGCGGCCACGGTGACGCAGGGACCCGGCAGATGCTGCTCCAGTGAGGTGCGTGAGCAGGGTTAATTACTAATTGCCCCCGCGGCAAGTATGTCTCACTTTGCATTGCTCAGCGTTCCTCAGATGGAAAACCCGCGCTGTCTGTCCCATCCGCCGCGATGTGAGAGGCAACGACCCGAGCGGGCCCGCTGCATTAGTCGCCCGCGGGCGAGAGCGGTGTTGGAGTCTGGCCCCGGCGAGGGCTGCGGCGCCGGGTGACGGGGCGGGAGGGGGGCGGTGTGCCTGGCCTCTGCCTCAGGCTGCCACGGAGAGTGGGCTGGGAGGAGAGAGATTCCACCTACCCCCGAGGGGCGTGAACGCCATTGTCTGGTCCGCAAACTTTCCTCTTTTCATCCTGGGGATGAAAGGATGCAGGACGGGGAAGGAGTCTCTGCCTCCCAAACTCCGGTAGTGTTCAGTCGATTTTAACTGCCTTCCTTGCCAGTTCTTAGGTTTGCCCGGCATCTGTAATCTGTTCCCATCTGCAATACACCTATTGTTCGTAATTCTGTGCATCCCCTGCATTTAGCTGCAAAACGCTGTCATTTGCAGAAATGCGAGTCTCTGTGCAAAGAGGTTTTTATGAGAGGTTTGGGGCAAAGGGGAAGGGTCCACCAGAGCAATGTATTCCCTAAAGATGGGCAGTGACTCAGAGAGAAAGGAGTGCTCAGGGAGTACTGGAGACCTTTTGAGCCTCTGCCGAGGTAAGGGCCTCCAGGAGGTATTCAAAGGTCTCCGCTGGGCCGATGGAGAGAGGTGGCTCATGGAGAATTTTTTGGCTGAAAAATATGCTTCCTCACTGGAAAATGAACTCTTTTTTCCATTCCATGCAGTACTCTGTTGCAACTGTAAGGCCAGGCAACCAGCTTCCAGAGAAAATGTTTGTAAAAAAGCCTTTTCTTTCTCATTTCTTCCCCTTCAACAACATCTAAAACGTGTGGCAATGAGCAATTGCGCTGAGGCAGAGATGAAGCTGTGTGGTCTGAGAAGGCAGAGTGTCTAGGAGAGTGGTAGATGGGTTGCTGCAGGAATAGTCATCATGTCAATATTTTATTTTCTTTTTTCCAATAGGTTTTTGCCTTGGTATTCTAAGTTTACTCTATGTGTTCTCAGTCACTGGTAACTACAGAGATGCTCAGTGAAGTGGAGTGAGGCCCAGGGAGCCTCATGGGTTTCTTGGCTTGGTGTGCAACCTCCCTCTGCCCCTGCTCAGGAGCGTGTAAAGGACGAATTTTCATTTGTTTATTCTTCGTGAACTTGGAAAACCTCATGGTTATTCCAGTCCTGAGACCATTTCAGAAGGAGCTGAGCAGGCCTGACTCCTGAATGCTCAGACACATGCTCCAGAGAGTGCTGCCAGTGGTAATGGTGACCAGGTTGTGATCCAGCACGGCTGGGAGCTGTGATCCCAAATGAAGCAATTGTCAAAGCTGATAAATAAATATGCTGCCTATATCTCTTCCATGCATGTTCTTAAATATGTGATACACCTTTCTTGATAAATATCTCTCTGAACCTGGTTATGCCTCTGCCTTATAGTGACCACAGAAGTCTCTCAGAAAACCTGCAGGTGTTTTCTCTAGAAATTTCTCAAGATTTTTTCAGATGTTCTCTAGCTGAGTTCAAGAAACAAATGATGTTGTTTAAGAGTAGGTAGAGACTTTCTGCAATTGTAGTGGCAGTGTATTATTTTCCTCCTCTTGAGCATTTTTTCTCCTAGGACTACATCTTCACTGTGCCTCTTTACCCCCTTAAATATTTGTCTTAGGAGCAACCAGTTTAAATTTATAGACTTTACTAATAAGACAGAGAAGCAAAGGGGCTATAGAGATAAAAAGTGCCTTTTTCTTTTTTTTTTTTTTTTTAACAAGTAGTTATGATGTGTTAGGAAGAAGCAGTATGCTCTAAATAATTAGCTGGGCACAAAGATCAGTTTAGGTGTGTCTTGGGTAATACACGGAGTTTCTTGTAGATGTTGTATAGACATAGGGAATTTACTGAATGAGATATGGAGTTGTTCTTGAATTAGGAGGTATTGGTGGTCAGGCAGCACAGGTGTAAAGAAATGTGCTGGTTTTCCCTCAGTGAGTAACAGAAGAATAAAGATCTGTGGACCACAGAAAGTTGGCTGACACAAATGTGAGTTAGTAGATCAGTTTTGTACTCTTTTATGGCCATTTATTGTTCACTACCATACCTTTTTGGAGGAACCTGAGAAACCAAGTATGCAGACCTTTTTCAGAGTCCTGGACATGCTCTTTGTCCTGTATGCTACTGCCTCTCTCCAGGATTTTGACCACTTAGTCAAAGATCCTTTCAGGTGTCCTCTGGGGCACATACAGGTGTGGAGGATGAAGTGCAAGAAATCAACCTGTTGGATCAACTGCAATGATTACGTTTTGAGATTGGTTCTCAAAAGCTGCGATAGCTATGTTGCAGAAGAGACTTGTGCTGCTTCCCATCATTGCCAAGCTGCAGAGAGCAGTTGGGGTTTTTTTGTGGATTTGTTGCCTCTTCATAGGCATGTGTATGGTTGTATAAATCCTGATTTATTTTTGTTGTGTTCCTCACAAAGTTTTCAGTAATTTTCCAGATCTAATCCTGTCATAAAGGACAAAGAGGTCTGTCAGGTCTGCTCCCAGGTTGGAAGGGGTGCCCGTCTATTTTAAAGGAGGAAATTCTGTAAACTGCAGGTTTTTATGTAGCAGCTAGTAAGCAGAGAGAAGACTGTGGCTGGTGGAATCTACCTGAAGAGTCCCATCACCTACCTGCACAGATGCCTCTGTGGCTGATGGCTTTAACCTGTCTTGGTACTTTGGGCAGAAGAAACTCTGTTCAGTTAGGAGACAGCAAACATTTTAAGAACTTTCTGCCTTTTTGAGTTTTTTTTTGTTTTCAAGGAAAAATTTGGGGGATTCTGTGGCATAGTTTTATCAGTTTTGTGCGTCTGTTTGCACAGGTGTAGGGGGGGAGCCTGAATCCCGATGAGGCAAGCCAGAGGGCCTGGCAACATCCCAGGTGTGTAATGTGGTGGAGCTGGGCAGAGGGCAGCATCTCTGGCCCATCAGGCTGTCTTTGCAGTTGTTACTAGCTCTCCAAGCATCAGCTTAGTTCCCATTCACTTTAGTGTCTGAGTTGAGTTGGTGCATGGAGTGCTATGAGAGATGAAAATGTCCCTTGCTGCCAACCTGCCATTCCTGTTGTTCTGAAGTGGTTGTGCCAATAGTGATTTACAGCTGAAAATCTGCCCCTTTTCACAGGACCCTGCCAGCAGAGCAAGGATCTCTCCAGCTTACATCAAATTACAGGTGTAGGGCTGAAGGGACTTCAGAGAAGGGATCTAATCTTTGCAATAAAATAGCAACTGCATCAGATGTTTCTTTTACTCAAAATAAAATAAACCAAAAAACAACAAAAAAACCCAACCAATGTTAGAGATTCTGCATCACAGACAACCTGTTTCAGTATATCACCACTTTGGCACTATGTAAATTTGTCTTTTTTTTCATATTCAGGCTGGGTCTTGTTTACTGTTTGAACTGTTGTGGAAGAAGAGTTCAGCACTTTCCCCCATTCTTGTGACTTTTAATGTATGCAGGCTGTTCTGTTCCCTTCGGTGTTATCTTCCTATGACTAAACACACCCAGGTCCTTCAGTTGTTTTTTCCAAGTCATGCTCTCTACACTCTTAATTTTATTTTCCACTGCAGTGTCTCAGATTTGTGCATGTATTTTATGAAGAAGAATATCTGGGACTGGGTGCAGTCTGTTGTCTAATGTCTCACCTGTGTGAGACCTACAGTGTCTCTACTGTTTGTCCCAGGATGACATTTACCTGCTTTGTAGCAGCATAAACCCACTGGCTTAGAATTAATTTCTCAACCAATGTATGCTTTTTCTTTGTGACACATTGGACTTACTGTATTGTAATTTCTATTTGATTCCATACCTGCCTTGTGCCTGCCCCCATCCTGCCAGATCAAAACACTGCAATAAGACACCGTAAAATCCTGGGCTGGTTTGAACTTGCTGTGTTGAGGCTTGTTTTGTTTGTTTGTTTGTTTGTTTGTTTTTGGTTAAAAAACCCCCCAAACAACTAAGAGGTTACACAGAAAGTCTCGATGGTTCTTGCACAGCGCACCAAACCAAGACAGTGTCTTCATTGATTCCTTCTTGTATCCCCACTCCTGATGTCCGTGGTCACTGTGCTTGGAGACTGATGTTCTCCTTCCCAGGAGCAATGGGACCCTGTCCCTTAATTTTCTTTTTGATTGCTCGGTGCAGCTGTGCCTTCCTCCTGCAGTGTTTTCATCCAGGGACTGAAACTGGCAAAGGGCCGAGTCTTTACAAAAATAGTTTTCCCTGCTAGTTTGTTCTGACGTTGCTCACTCATGGAGTCTGGTGTGAGCATGGGGAGGTGATGCTTCATGAAGGGGTGGGTAAAAGGGGCAACACCACCTTTTCATCTGCAGTGAGCCCCTAGATTGGCTCCAACACCCTGAATTTTGTCTTGATAATGTCAGGTCCCTTTCTGTCTGGCTGTTACTTAATGCTTTGGTGTCTTTATCACTTTCTTATCTTATAGGTAACTACAAACTGATCATTTAATTTGATCAAGAATCCTTCAGGGGATTGAAGTTACGGGTCTGTAACTTCTTAAGTCTTCTCACACCTTTTTTTTTTCCTTTTAAAAAGGTAGGTGAGGCATGATGCTTCTCCAGCCTTCTTGTGGCCTTCCCATATTCCTGTAAATTTTCAAAGATGGTCCTAATGCTTCAGAGATTACTTTGACTGTTTTTTTTACATGCTTTCAGGTGAATGCCGTTATTGCCTCTCAGTCAAGAGCTGTTTTGCGAGCATTTGTTAAGCTATTTTTTTCTAGCGTGCTATTTTCTCCCATTTCCAAATTAATTTTGCTTGTCACATTTCACTTTTTCTTCTGAAGACTGAAGGAACATTTGTACTTCAGCCTTTACATCATTTGCTTTCCCTTCCTGTTTGCCAATGAGAGTGTAATTATCTTTATTTTCCTCTTCTAACATGCTCTCTTCTCTCCAGTTTTCTTATGACTGCAGAGCTCTTAGTAACAGCTGTGCTGATTTTGACTAAGAGACCATCTAACCCAATATCCTTCTTGGAAAGGATGAAAACAGGACAAGCATATATGGTATTTTTAAAGTATCCTTCCAATCTCCAGCTCCTTTCACATATGGGAATTTCTTGAGTGTAATGTGAGCTGTTTAACCATTAACAATCAATAGATTTGCCTTTCTAGTATTTGCCCTGTCTTTTGATGAACCCATGTAAAATTTTTCATCGTTTTTGGAGAGATACTACTATACAAGTTATTTGCTGATGAAGGGTCATATTTGTTTGTTGTGAAGTTGACCCTCATTGACTTCATGTGGTGGCTGTCAGTACTTATGTCTGACAAGACAGTGAATAGTCTGTCCCTCTTCACCATCTTTACACCACTCATGAGTTTGCAGGCTTCTGTTATGTTGCCTGTCTTGCATCCTAATTTGTTACATGGATGCTGTTGCATGGCAAAAAGAAGATTTATCTGGTTAGCATCTCTGGTCAGTACCTTTTTCTGAAGCCTTGGGACACTGAAGGGCAAGGATGAGGGTACTTGGAGTCCTTGTCCAGCCCACCTGAAGGCAGATGCTTTCACAAGAAGTCTCATGTGCAGTTTCATACACCAGTGATAAACAGCCTCTCTGTCCTTCGGTGCTGTGTTGAAATCAGGAAGAGTTTCCGATGTCCAGATGTATACAGGTATACATACCTGTGCTAAGGACTGAAAGGGGGGGATGGTGTGGCCAAGGCCGCCTTCTGGGATGATGGGAGAGAGAGATGAGCACACTCTCAGAACTGTTCTCCCTTCTCTTTTCAGAGATTGGCCAGCCTGGCTGAGACCACTTAGCAATGACAAAACAAAAACTTCTGCTTGATTGGACGCTCTCCTTGTTTCTGATTGCGGCCTGTGGAGCTCAACAGCTCCCCAAGAGTCATGTTGCTGCTAGTTCTGGTTCGCTGTGTGAGAAGGAGGCAGAGTCCTGGGGAAACCTTTTCAGCAGTGAGCGATTGGATGCTTGGATCTGTTCCCTCATCGGTTCATTCATGGTGGGGCTGAGTGGGGTCTTCCCCTTGCTGGTGATCCCATTTGAGACGGGAGCTGCTCTGCAGTCAGAAGGTAAAACCGCTACCTGCCCTGGTCTTTCTGAAGCCAGAAGTCTTGGGATGTGACGGAACAGCACAATAATGAACAGGACTTTGTCACAGAAATACTGTTCTCTAAAATAGAAAGTCTGTTTTTGGTGCTTTAGTCCATACCTGAGAATCTGATAGGGAATCCTTGGACAAATGTAAGCCCTGGATGGAGTTTTATACAAAAAGTATTGTTTTTCACCCTCTTTGGTTCAGGTCCCTCCCACACACTGCTGTCTCAGGCAAGTGGTGCAAGGGCTTTTTCTTGCACTCCATTTGTTTTGTGCTCTCTCCTTTGAAAGCTTGCTTTGTGGCTACTTCCAATTTATGTTTCTTTGTGCAAAATCTCAGCTGGAGATGTTTTGGCTCCTGGATAAGTTGTGATTAGTGTGGGGGTTTTTTTGTCTGTTTGGTTTTTTCTTTCTTCTTTTTTTTTTTTTTCTTTAGCTGGATCACACCGTATGAAGCAGTTGTTGAGTTTTGCAATTGGTGGACTACTGGGGAATGTGTTCCTGCACCTGCTTCCTGAAGCCTGGGCCTACACATGCGCTGCAACAACAGGTATGAAAGCCTTATATGCCTGGAAGCAGCCCATGCTATGCCTACTGCTCCATTTTTTGAGTCTGTGCCATCTTGAAAGCACAAGACCAGCCAGTCTGGGTCAGCCCAAAAACTGGTCTAAGCTGGTATTTTCTTTCAAATAATATATAAAAGCATATGCCTAGGGAAGGATGTAAGAACAATAAACACACATGTAATACTTCGTCTTCCTACTCTGCATCCTCCAGAGACTTTGAGATTAGAGGCTTCTTCAGTTGGCCGTGGTTTCTTCATGTTTAGTAACTTGCAATGGTTTTCTTGTCTGTCAAATTCTCCTATCTTTCCTTGGATTCCTGTAAGTCTCTGTTGATTTTCCTTTGTCCTTTCTGTAAGGAAAGGGAATGCTTCTTTAACTTGATGAGAGGTTATGAATGTGTATGTGATCTGGTATATGAACTTGTGCACCACCTCAGTTGGGGATCAGGTGCATCTTTTTTATAAATCTGTCCCTATAACAATGTTAATCCTAGAGCCTTTTTCTTGGCACTTACTGGGGCCCCTCTGTTGGGTATTTGATTTATGGGAGCTCATATGTGTTGCCCTTGCAATCTTTGTTCAAGGAGAAATCATGAAAAATGGTCTATAGAGCCATAAATGGAGGGTGAGGGGGGGGGGGAGCGGGGAAGGGAAAGGAAATACAGGTCACAGAAACCTGTGTTTGCCAGCAAATGAAACTGAGTTGGTATAGAATTTGTGGTATCATTGTAACTCCTTCATCCCTCAGATAGCCTATAATGGTTGTGTCTCTCTGCTTCAGAAAACTGATAGCATAGAAGGCAAGTGTTGCTGCATCCCACCTGCAGAAATCGTTTCCCTGCTGAAAATATGAGAGAGGAAGGAAGATGTCCTGGGTTTCCCAGACTTTCTTGCACCTATATCCTATGATTTAAAGTCTGCTGGGCCTTTTGTCTTCTTTCTCACAGCTCTAGCACTGTAGGCAGAACCAGCTGTCCTTTTTTTACCCCTTTTTACAGTGGTTCCCAAATTACTCTGTCTTCCTACTCTAGTTTGTTTGCTTCAGACTGTCCTGAACCATAAAGGTTTCCTTGACCCATGTAAGCCTCGTTACAGTGTCATTCTGTTCTTCCATTGCAGTGCAATCTCCATTTCGGTAGCCACACTGAATGCATTATTATCTCACAAGCTTGGCTCTAATTGAAAAGAAAGTTTATAGCTTTGGGCTTAATAACTTACCTAGGTGTGGCAGAAAGGGGAAGGTGAGTCTTTAGCTCCACGAATGGCAGATTTCATGTCAGAGCTTGCTGCTCAGTAGAGAATAGCTCCTGGATTTTTGTTGATGTAACCTTCACTTGCCTCTGGACCTCAGGGAAGTTTACAGTGTTGTTAGGAAATATTCTGGGTTGTGCTGTTGAAGAAAAAGGGGTGGTAGCTCTCACTCTGAGTGACCTGAGATGAGGTTATCTGTTAGATCAAGAATGAGCAAGTTAAACTAATCTGCTTTGAGATGTGTTTGCTCCTCTTACCTTGGAGGGAATCTTTCCATTGTCATTTCTTGTCATTTGACTTGGAACTGCTGGTTATGCTGTCTGAGGTGTGGTGGGTTCACACGTGAAAAACTGTGTACTTGATAGAGACCTGGGGATTTCTTTCTTGTCCTTCAGGAGAAGAGCAGAGCTTTCATCAGCAGAAGCTTCTGGGTCTCTGGGTGATCATTGGTTTCATAACCTTCCTGGTGCTAGAGAAGATCTTCCTAGAGAAAGAAGAGAAGGACTACCCTGGTGTGGTAAGTTAGCAGCCCGAGGGGAGGGAATGCTCTTATATTTGAAGGTCTGTACTAAACACTTCATCTGCCTTATCTGACAGGCTCAGCAAATGATCCTGGAGCTGTGAGTATCTTGTTATTGCTCTTTGGGAGCTTTTTGTCACTTCTTTGACACTGGTCTCTTAAAAGGTTTCATCTCCAGGCTTTTCTTTTGTGGTTTTGACTGAGATTTCTCATTTCTGGGTTGGTTTTGTTCTTTATGTGGTATGTGTAAAAGAGAGCTGCTCTTTTATGGGGACTGGGAGCTGGAGCACTCTGCAAATTATACTTTTGCTCAAGTTACCTTTGAGAGATGACAGCTTGCTGATGCATGTTCCACTGACCCCATCATGACTCATTCCCTTTCTGGGTCCTCGGTCAGGACAAAGACCAACCTACTTGAAGGTGTTTCTTCTTGGCTATGGCCTGGACCAGATGTTTGGCTAACTTTGTGTGGTAGAAGGCGTTTATGGGTGGCCAGGCTGTACTAAGTTCAGAGGAGTCACCCAGCTGCAAAGGGGCAATACAGACAGACGTACCAGAAGGTAATTCCAAGATGGAGAAGAGGAGCTAGTTTCAGACATCTGGACAACTCCTAGTTGCAGCTCCTACAGACTGTTCAGTCCTTGCTGTGCCTTTTGAGAGGTCAGGCTGCAGGTCAGGCTCAGCATAAGAGCAATTAAGTGTTTCCTTCGACTCATCACTGAGACTTCAAAGCCTGAAAGGAACTTCATCTTCTCATTTGGAGAGAGAATGAAGTCTTAGATAAATATCTTGTTGTTTGGAAGATAATGATCCCAGCTGTAGAATAATTCTATAGACTCAGTTATTGTGATGGATCGGGGAGAGCAAGACTCTTTCCCACCATTTCCTGTCCAGTTGAGTTATATTTCTGTGGGCAGCAGCTGCTAGCAGGATTGGCAGGCTCAGTCCCTTGTCCTTCCAGTGGAACCTGGCTCATGCCAAGGGGGTGTGACTCCAATTCCTCTCTCTTTCTACGAGTCTTGAGGACTGGGAGGTCTTTGCTCTTCTTGTCTTACAGTGCAGATGTTACAATGCTCTCTAAATCTGTTTCATTTCTGGCAGCTGTTATTCAAACTGGGGTGCCAAAGCTGCTGATTTACATTGTAAGGACAAAGGGATTAAGGGTGAAGACTGGATTTTTGATCCTGATTCATGCTCATTCATCACTGACATAAAGTCAGTGACAAGTTTTTTTCCCCTAATTTAGGACTGTGATTCCAAAGCACCAGGTGGAAAGATTTCCAATGGAAGTGGCTGTTCCCTGCAAAAGATGGCAGGTCAATCCCAAAAAGCACGAGCTCAGTGTAATGGCTCCTCTCTCCAGTCTTGTAAAAGAAACAATAGAATCAAGGTAAGAGACCCATAAACTCACCTTCACATCCTAGTCAGGAATTGTCTCTGGAAAACATTGTACCTGAGTGGAAAACTCAGAGTTTGAGTTGTGCCTAATTTTGCTCTATCGAAGTGTCTGTCCTGGTCACAGCAGGGAGGAAACAGCAGACTTGGAGAAAATCTACACTGTAGCTTATGCAGAAGAGGCAAAATCAATATTATGAAGGCATAAATCTGATGATGTGTGTTTTGGCTGAATTCTGATTCCCAAATATAGAATTCCACATTTTGTTTCTCTATATTTTTTAGTCAATATATCTTTATTTGCTTATTTTTTTTTTGTGCCATGATTTCTCTGTTCTCTAGTGCCTGCATTGTACCAATTGTAAGCTGCACTTTTCCTTTTAAGGCACCTTTTGGAAGTGTTTTGACACCTTTTGGAAGTGTGTTGAAGCTATCCACTATAGAACTTAGAAGTTCAATTTCTCAGATTATCAGTTTATCTGCTGCCAAAAAGGACTTCTTGTCCACTTCTGTCTCCAAAACTGTATTTGCCATCACTTCCTTTGCACTGGTCTCATCTGACCCCACAGTGAGCCTATTCAGGGAGCTAAACAGGCTTTTTTTTTTGCACCCACACACCCACCTCCCACCCCCAGGTCTATTTCTCTCCTATTTTAACTTCTTGAATCAGCTTGGCATGTAGACAGGCAGCCTGCAGTGCTGGGATAAGGGAGATCAGCAAGCTCATAGGATTGAAGGTGGAGGAGGAAAAGGAGTACTGTACCATTGGGAAGTGGATAACCTTTACATTGGCTTTGCTTTCAGTTTAATGTTACTATCTTTGTACTGTGGAAACCCTTGTCTGGGTGCACATTACAAGTGAGAGAGTAAACAACCACTTTGGTGAAGCAGGACCTACAATTTGAGTTTGCAAGCCCATAAAAATGTGGAAGATTGTATAAGAGTAACTATGAAAAGAAAGTGTGGTTGCATGAACTAGCCCAAACCTGGATGTGTGGTCAATCAGAGGCTCTTTAGTCTTTCTATTTTAAATATATTTTGCTGTAACTTTATAGCTCTTCCTACACAACATGAAAGTTATGCTGAGGTCACTGAGTATTTTTTGATATCTGTCACATTCATGTAATTTTTACAGAACACTGCACAAACTGCAAGGTGCCACATTGATGTTTCTAGAGGTGATAGTAGTGAAGAAATCAATATTCCTGGGTTATGAAACATTGTGCCCTTATTTTAGAGAGATTTATATAAGGAACTACAGATTTAGAGGATGGTTAGTCTACCACTGATTTTATGTAGAAATGAAACACCAAGAGAGAATAAGATTGCTGAAGACATGGTCCTAATATAAAAACCAATAATTAAATTAATGCTAATTAGTATGATCTTATGGAAGATAAATTCTTATCAACCAGACATTTTCTCCTGCCTTTAATTGGTGATAAAATTGTCTGATAAGGGTACTGACAAACATATATAAAACATAACTTTCTCCCACATTCTAATAAAACTAGTACTGCATGAAATCAACTTTGCTAATATTAGTTGTATTAAAAATGAGTTATATTGTCAGTAGGGACTGGATTAAGACAGCCCCCCTCAAATCTGTTCACTGGTGGAATATGATTTTTCTAAGTGATTATTTATAAAAACAGTATGTCTTCACATTTGCAGGTACTACTGTATTACATAAATGGCACATTGTGACTGCATGAAGTCAGTGATAGCAGCTAGACTGAGTAACTTCACCAGAAGTGCTGCATTTTTAACAGGTTTTGATACATGCAAATATTAAGGAATAGATCAGAGAAAGAACAAAAGATAGGGATAATTTCTAGAAAGTCAATGCAGTGGAAAAAGACATGAGAATTACAGTAGAAATTTTTTTGAGCACATTCTTCCCCTATGATGCTACAGCCAGGAGGATGGGTGAGTTGGATGTAAGAGAAGAGAGTCCCTCTTTCTGTACAGCAGTAGTGAAACAGCTATCTGACTATTTCCAGTAGTGTTATTCCAGATATGCTACTGATAATTTGTAAAGGGATCAGGAAAGAGATGAAATAAGTATTTTAAGTTTGCAGTACATGATAAGTGGGTTTTTTTTAGTTTAGATGTGTAGTTGTGACAGATCAAGGATAACTTAAATTATACAGATACCCGTGTAAGAGACATGACTAAATTTACACAATAATTTGCACAACAGTAACAGACTAGAAATTAGAGACAACTCTGTAACTGAGGGTAACTTGCCAATGGACCTACTTACCTTAGAGATAGCAGATTCTTTTTCACTTGCGGGCTTTAAGCTGTGATTTAAGATGCTCTCTACAAAGTACATTATAGCTTAACTAACAATGGACTTAGTGCAGAAATTGATGAGATTCTTTCAGTTGTGTTATGTAGAACATTTAGACAACCATGGAGAGCCCTTGTAGCTTTAAAATCCTAACACATCTGTCCGCTCTTGCAGACTGTTGTCGATATGCACGATATAGAACCTCATGACTTAATGCATGTAGTTTTTACTTTCTACATTCTGAGCATATAATCTGAATAACAGTCTTCCTGGTAGGGTGGAAATTACCAAAACTACCAAGATACTCCTGCGTTGCTAGCCTGTTTCCTTAGGCAACAACATAAGCAGTCATTCCATCTGTCTGTCCATCTGTTCTGCCCTTCATTTTCAATAACTTTTGAACCCATAATTAATTTTTCTTGAGTTCAAGAGAGGATAGAAGTCCTGAAGGTGATCCAATTTCTGCAAGTTCCATAAAAATCAGCATGACAGTAGAGGAGGAATGCAAACTAATGCCCTAAGTCAAAACACTGTCAGAACTTAGCTGCTGTGTGCTGCTCGACAGGTCCACCTGGTTGGCAGCTCACTGGGTAAGTCTCACTGCCCTTACCTGATGGGGAAGTGGCTGTCATGCAGTGCAGGGTGGGGAAGGGGTGTGCAGGGAAACAGTAATGCTGGAAGTGAACAAAATAGATGCTTGCAAAGAAAAGAGTGAAATCAATAGCAAGACAGACTACTTTTGTTCTACTGTTCACTTAGAAACCCCCATTTTTTCAGCAAACAGAAAGAGAAAGATACTATTTAAACAAACAAAGTCACCCTTCAGGGTTTAAGGATTAGTAAGCAGAAAACAGTTGACCATTGTCCGCATATATATTAGAACTTCTGCTTTTTAGCTGCTGCTATAATTTGTCCTAGCTTGAAAACTGCAGGTGGGAGGTTTCCTTTGCACATAAACATAGATCAGCTCTGTCCTGCATTGCAGCCTTTGTATCCTCAACAAGTAAAAACACTGTACTTTTGCCTTGCTTATTCTTTCTTTTTCCCTGTGGCACATGGGGTCCTTGTTGATTTGAGGAAGTATGTTTTATTACACAGTGACATTAATTCTGAAGCATGAACATAAACACTTCATCTGGCTATGCTCTTTATGAGCAACAAGAACATCCTATTAGGGATTCACAGAATGTAAATGTCAGAGCCTCATAACTGTCAAATCAACCCAATTTATTTCTGAGCACTCCAAGGCTTTGCTTCTTTCAGTGACAGCTTTTGCCCAAGCCACTGACAAGAAAAAGTCATAATGTTTTAATCATGAAGTCTATTTTTTCCCTGTATGGTGGTATGGGAAAGCATTTTTGTGTAAAACTTCTGTGAATAATTATTATTATCCTGTGGGGAAAACACAGTCACATAAAAAACCAACATGAAAAGGAGAATTTTAGATAGTCATATTTGACTGTCTAGGACTGAGAGTATGAAGAATGAGAAGTAAAATTGCTGTGTTCTTGGGTCTGCCTTCATGCATCTCTTTGTGTTTCCTTTCTTACAAAAACATACGGGGACTTCCTTTGCATCTATTGTGGAGATGCTACTTAGTCTATTACTTAAAAGTGAGCTTAGCTAGGCTTTGCTTAATCCCTTATTGCCATATTTATCATCAATGCACTTTAAAAAATTTAGAGCCTGTAAAGGGCCAAGATTGTGGAGCAAAAGTGCCCTGAAGAAAGCTGGTGCTTTGGAGAGAGAGATTTGACAGAAAGCCCCACTTGAGCCGTGGTATATAGATGACAGGAAGAAGAGATGCATCAAGCAGAGTTGAGGGAAACAGGGAAGAGCAGAAGACCAAAAAGTGCTAATTAAATCCATCCACAGTTGTGCTTTTCCAGCTGAACTTTGGCATCTGATGCTATGGTGAAGTAAGAGTTTCTAGACAGTCTCTCCACTCACTGGGTACTCCCCTATATTTGGAGTTCTTGCAGTCCAGAGACAGCCTGGTATATTGGCTAGCACCTGGTTTGATAATAATTTAAACTGCAGTGCCATATAGTGATCTGTGGTATCTCAGGACCCACACACAGTAGTTTAAGTCAAATACAATGGAAAAACCCCCACAAACATGTGAGCTAAAGAGCTGGGGTGGTACCCTCATAAATCACCTTAGATCAAATACTTTTAATTTGTATTGAGGTGACCATAGTTAGAATGATGGGGAAGTCTAACATGGAGATGGACTTGTGAGAAAGGAAGCTGCTTAATGCTTATAATTTTAAGAAATGTGTTTATATGCATATACATATACATGCTATCCAGCCTTCTAGTAGGTGGCTTTTTAGTGACTGTCATCACTCTTGTTATTCTTTGTTAAGGGAAAGCAAACCCACAAGCACAAGCTTTTTTGGGACAATGTTTGAAGATCTATTTCGTTACAAAAAGCAGTTTCAGCAGCATTTGTTCTGTTGCATTGTTCTAGCCAGCTTTTGAGGAGGAGATATTTAACAGTTGAATATTAAAGTACATGACTTGAAAACAAGATCAGGCCATATTTGAAGCCAGTTACCTGTGTAAAGTAGTCAGTGTTACCTAAAATTGGTTCAATTTAGAATTAAATATATTGCATTTTTGGCTTTCTTCTTTTTCCTTTCTCTTTTTCTGTATCTAGAGGTCTTTGTCATTTGCACAAGGTAATTATTCTAATCTCAGACAATACTTGCCTACCCTAAAACTTAGTTTACTTTAAAACCAAAAATTACATTTAATCTGTACTCAAGCACTGACATAGTTTAAGATCTTCAGTAGAAGTGCTATGTCCTGACATTTCCCACTTGATTGTGGCTGCATAACTTGTGTCTAAACCATGTACTTTTTTTTATTTTCTGATGTCTCTTCCTTTATCAGGGGCTCTTCCTTTTCTTTGCAGATTAGTGGATACCTCAATTTACTGGCCAACACCATTGATAACTTCACACACGGCCTGGCAGTAGCAGCCAGCTTCCTGGTTAGCAGAAAGGTAAGGTTTCTGTTCCCAGCTGTGAACTGAACTGGAGAGGCCTTGTCTCATGTATGATGCAACATGCAAAACTTCCAAAGATGTGAAGAGTTCCCTCCTATTTTATGGAGTTTTCTGAGAAAATGCAGACTACAGTAAAAACCAACTCTATCCTGATCCTCTAATGCAGAGCTTCCTCAAGCCTGGGACACATTAGTCATTATGACTGGCACTGGGGGAAGGATTAGCTCATCTATTCAAAAGCCGGGCCAGAAATAGCATTGACCCCTTATATGATGAGGATAGTCACCTCAGAAACAGGTACATAGACAAGGAAGAGATGTTTAATGCTTTTTTTACTTCAGTTTTCAACACCGATGATGGACTGTGGGGTTTCCAGTGCCCTGAGCTGGAGGACCATGACTGCGAGAATGATAAACTCCTAATCAACCCTGAACTTGTGTAGGATCTGCTGTTACAGCTGGATCCCTGGTCCCTGTATGGGACCTGATGGGATTTATCCAAGAATACTCTTGATTGTTTCCTAATCACCTTCTCTTTGCTGCAGGTTGGATTCCTAACCACAGTGGCCATTCTCCTGCACGAAATCCCACATGAGGTGAGAGGGCTTTGGATCCTGCCATTGTGAGGGGGATTACAAGGTGCTTCACCTACTAAGGGGAGGCCTGGGTCTGGTTAATATTTTCTTGTCCCTTTGAAAGCTGCTCCCTCTGGGAGACTGACAACATGGAAAAGCAGAAACAGCACTGCTCTTCCTGCAGATGCAACAGCCTTTGTGACTGAGAATTTAATATTCACGTTTATTAACTGTCAACTCTTGGTTTTCTTAGGTTGGAGACTTTGCAATCTTACTTCGGGCTGGCTTTGACCGCTGGAGTGCAGCCAAAATGCAGCTTTCCACAGCTCTGGGGGGAATTCTGGGAGCCTGCTTTGCAATATGTGCTCAGTCACCAAAAGGAGCAGGTAAGGCTCCCTGGGTCCTCTGGAAAGGGGAAAGGAGGTGCTTGTTGTCCCCACGTGTGTATCTTCCTTCAGTGTTGTCTCCCATGGCTCTGCTCAGTAATAACAAAAGCTTTCTGTATTTGTGCAGGTGAAACAGTAGCCTGGATCCTCCCTTTCACTTCTGGAGGATTTCTGTATATTGCCCTGGTAAATGTTGTGCCTGATCTCCTGGAGGAAAAGAATCCTTGGTAAGTGCTCCCTCCTGTTATGCTGCAGCAATTCTTGCTGCCAGGGAGCAGGGATATAACCCTCCCCTGTGCCTGTTCTGGAAGCATGTGATTGCTGGCTTTCCAAATCCCACGGGCAAGGCTGGAATCAAAATAGACTGCTGTGCTATCTATTGCACTTATGGGACTACAAAGACCCTCTAAAACACAAGAACTGGGTCAGTCCCAAAATACTGTGCTAGCACAGTACGTAGCATGACCAGCTAGAGCAAGTTCCTCAGAAATATGTCCAGTTAGGACATCTGCTGCCCTGTCTGTCTTTTCAGCTTCTGGCATGTGCTGGTTTAGGGACTGTCTGAACCAGGGCCCCATAGAGGTGTGTATGTCTGTAACCATATGTGAATCTATCCTTCCCATGCTTCTCTCATTCCTTTTTGACCTTATCCATTAGTTCAGGCTTCTGCAATCTCCCTTTGGCAGAAGGTTTGCATAGCTTCACTGCACTGTGTTAAGTGATACTTCTTATTATTTGATTTTTACACTCCTGCTTACTGCTTTATTTTTTTTATTAGATGTCACCATGGTGCTGTGTCAGTAGAAAATAATAGTTTTCTTTATCATTCAACATTTCATAGTCTGTCATTGTATCCCACCTCAGTCATCTTTCTTCTCCACTGGTGTATGTATTCCAGTATATTTGGCCTCCCCCTGTGTATTATTCTAGTTTCTTGCAGTCTAATTAAGGCTGTAGCAGGTCCAAATCCAGCTGTACCACAGTAAAGGCCTTCTCAGATCTGCTGGCAGAGCTGCCCCTGAATGTTCCCTTCTATTTCAGTTGTAATGAGACATGCAACTTCTGTGGTTTAAATAAGATGCCTTGTCTCAGCTAGTTAATTTTGACTGAAACATTCCTCAAAAAAACAGCTCCACAGCTATATCTGAGGAGGCAGGAACTTCTGGTGGAGAAATGTTAATTACTAGTTTGGGAGTTTGCTTTTGGATTGGTAACCTCTCGTGCCAGCAAAGGTTGTTGCTAGAGTGTGCAGATGTAGGAGGTATGCAGTCACTTCAATCCCGCATAAACCTGAGATAGTGCTAAAAGAATGGCCAAATTCATCATCTTGCTTCTTTATTTTTCTTTTTATAACTGTGGTTGTTAGCTGGATGAGATCCCTAAAGTGTCTGTGAACATGCTGCACAAGTGTTGGTTCCCTTGTGAGTGAGAGGACAGGAATATATTCCTGAAGCTACAAGTCTGAATCAGCTTAAGTTGATTTTGAAACCTGGAGTTGGGCCTTGCAGCTGAGTGGAGCAAGTACATGTCAGTTTATAGACAACATCTTTGCTTGGGGTGCTGGGAAAGAGTCTTCTCAGCTGTATTAGTGACTTCATACAGCTGTTGTGTTCTCCATGTGGTAGATTTGGAATGGCAAAGGGCAAACAATAAACAATTTGAGAGCCTCTATGCTGCTGCCTATGGGGATTGGTCTATGGCTTCTCCTAATTTTACTGTTTCTTTCCCAGGAACTCCCTGCAGCAAATTCTGCTCCTGTGTACAGGCATTATAGTCATGGTGCTACTTGCGCTCACAACTGAGTGACCTCTGCGCAGACCTCGTGATGCCTCCCAGAGCCACCACAGTGACTCTGAGTTGTTACAAAGCAATAAGGAACACTAATGTTACTTCTGACGTGTGTGTGTGTGCAGATCTGGCTGCTAGTATGAGAAGCAGGTGAGAAAGAGGTCTGGATGTGCAGGACTTGATTCCCTGGCTCTCCTATTCCTGTTCTGCTAAAATCCACACACCAGGGCTTCTGTTCTTTTTTGATTTGGTTGGGTTTTATGGAGCAAAAGATACACTGCGCAGAAATGAACCGAACAACTGCTCCACTGTGAATGAATGATATTTCATTCAGTTTGTTCTGATGGAACTGCACCTCCCCAAGCTCTTGTGTGAAAACAACTGAGGCGATTCCTGTAGCTGATGAAGACTAAGGCCTTTTCCTACCACTAGTGGCTGGAGGCAGAACAGGGATTACAAAAGACAATAAACTAACAGCTTTAGCCAGAACTCCCTACCCATGAGAAGTTGATGGTGCTATGAGATAGAGGGGAAAAGGCCCTTTCCAACTTGGTCTCTGGCTTTTTATTGACATTGCTTGTTCCTAAAGGGTAGTATTAGCCTCAGCAGTCCAGCTTTTTTGGTCTATTTTGTATTTGTTTATGTTGAAGTTGAGCCAAAAGCTTGAGGCACTTTAGGATAGGTCACTATAATTAAATGACTCAGCTTGGAGATTACTTTCCTCAGCCCTAACCACTCCAAAAGCCAGCACAGCCTGTTTATCTGATAAATGATTAGTAAATGTTTCTTCTATTGCCATACTACCAGCTCACCTACATCTGGAAGGAAAGACATGTAGCTGCTGTGACTGAGCTCCCTCTCCTCATAACCATTAGTTGAACACAGCTCTGAGCCTGTTCTTGAGCCCTGCGTCACCCACCATCTGCCCCACACCATGTTTCAGAGTTTTCATGAGGTGTAGCATGTTAGCCCTGCCCGACATGCTACAGCACCCCTAGACTGTCATGGCAGAGGTAGCTGAACACTACAGCCTGGCCAGCAGCTGGTAACTCCTGGTTAACTTTTCCTCTGTTCAGTGTAGACCATTTAAGAGCATGCTATAACCAAAAACATAGATGGTAGCCTATTTCTGGGCTTCTTACCTCACAGTGATGTTCATTCTGTTGGGGACGAATGGATAAGGAATAATACTGACAGCTCTTAAATGGGAAGGCTGAAACTGCTGGTAAAAATATTTTAAAAATATTTTTATAGTAAAGTTGTGTGCTAGGACAAGGAGAGAGAGGGATATGAAAGGGTGATGATAGGTATGCTTTAAGAGGAGTTTTCTGTTTTGTGATGCTTGGGATAAAATTTTTGGCAATTTGAGACCAATAAAAATAAATAATATTTCTAGTGCTTTCCTGCATCCCAGCTCACAAGGCTGACCATAATTCCACAGGCATATTTTATTGCCACAGAGATGTGCACAATTACTAGATAATCTCTTTTGCAGAGCTTATCCTTGCTTTGCTTAAATTTGTTTAGAAACAGGTCTCATTGAACTAGTGAAGTCACCGGGCACAAAGCAGGTGCCCCAGTGTCCATTGCACCAACTTAGCTCTGTCTTGAAACAGCTTTTGTAAATCACTACAGCTCTCCAATCTGCACAGGGCCCTATCAATAGGGCTCATGCCTTCTGAGGGCGATTCGGGTCAGAGCAGCGAGGCAGGTATGCTGCCCACAGCAGAAGCATTTACTTCCCTAAGAGATTCCTGAACTGTTGACACAGTTCTTTTTTATGACAGCTCCTGTCCTACTTTTCAGCAAGCGCTGAAGAGCTCATGCTTGCAGTTCTATCTGCCCAGGAACTGCTGCCTGAAATTTTTTCAGCTTTCCTTACCCCAGACTTACAGCAATAACTAATTTCACTGCTACAATGAGGGAGGCTTAGAGCAATTATTTTATTCCTCTTTACAAAGTTGCCTTCCTATGCCAACTACTCTTATCGTTCAATTGTCATGAAGTCTGAAGGTAGCATCTGCTTCCCATTTTCCTGGAAGGATGACTAATCCAAGTAGTCTGCAGGGACTGGGTGGGTATGCTAGCCCTCTAGATCTAGCTTTGGGGATTCACCCCTGCCCAGGGACTGCAACTAAGTGGACCCTGTAATTGGGCTCTGGGGGAAGCAGGTTTGCACAGAAAGATGTGCCTGCTGTTTCTCAAGATTTCTTTCCCAAAATAAGGCTGGCATTTAAGTTGAGGCACTGCCAGGTGAGTGCCCATGAGTTGGCGTTGTTGCATCAGCACCGAGCCTTGCCAAGACTGAAAACCACAGTCAGGATTTTGTACTCAGCGTTCAGGAATGTAAAGTGGATGACACTGAAGAAAGAATTTCAGAGCTGTTTTTCTTGGCTGCTGCCATAGGTCTGAATAGTCTGTGGTTGTTGGGAAGATACCCTGGTAGGAGGTAGCATGGGGCTTGTGGGAGGGAGGGGCTTGAAAGGTTTCTACGTCAGCCCTGGGGCTGAGGATGGAGAGCCTTGTGAGGAAATGGAGCATCACTCCATCACATTTGTCACTTTTGGAAATACAGAGAGAATTGTATTTTCTAGCTCTATTTTTTCAGCTGCTCTTACTCATTTTCCCACTTCATCTGTATTGGTCTGCTCTTCATGGAGACAATAGAGATGAAATAAATGATTTTTCATGTTGGTTTATGTTGTTGGGGGTTTTTTGTTTGTTTGCTTGTTTTGGTTTTTTTTAAATGCTACTACTTTTCTTTGAAATAAAAATTCAATTCAGATTTCATTTGAATTACAGAGCTATATCTCTGGGTTAGTCTAGAGAAGTCTGGGCTCCGTCTTGCTGTCAGACCTTCACAACTGAAAAAAAAGTTCTAATCCAGTTTCTTCTTCCTGCTGCCAAGGAACTGTCATCCAGGAGCAGTGTGATCCAATCGTAATTCTTGACTGCTGGTCTAGGTTCCTTGAAAAGCATGACCAAATAAGTTTCTCCTCTTTTGGGGGAAAGCTTGCGTGGTAACTGACTGCCCAGAGAATTTTGAAACTATACTTTGTTGTGATCAGTTATTTTTTTAATCAAAAAACTCAAGGCCTCTCTGGTATCAATTAACACTAAGCTGGTTATCTGCCATGTAGAACAAAGGTGCGCTTATCAAACGTTATGTGTCAGAATTGCCCAGAAAGGACTAATAGGAATTTCTCCACCCTTCAAAAACATGGGTTCAGTACATGTCTTATCCCACTCTTCATTTGGAAGATTTTCTGCCTACAATAATGGTACATGACTCTCAGTTCTGTAAGTGTTCTGTAAGAAGATGGAAAACCACAGCCCAAGAGCTGGAAGAAGATGAAGGCAGGTAGGTGATCAAGGGTCCCTGGGTTTACCATGCTGCACTCTTTGGCTGTGCTGGTACTAATTGCAGTAGCACATAAGGGAGAACAATTGGAAGGAGTCTTGTACATAGGAACTTTCTAAGGTGGTGGTTTTTCTGAAACTATAGCCTCAGGTGCTGATGTAGAGGGTGGGGTGACATAATAGGATTGCAGATTTAGGAAATGTCAGTATTCGGATCTTTTCAGGAAAGAGCTGTTACAATTGAAGGGTTTTCTCATGTTATCTAGAGCAGTGATTGTATTTGAAAATTATTTTTCACTCTTCATGTGGAAGATTTAATTTAGCTGGTATGTGTAAGAAAATTCTTTTGACAGCAGCCCTTTCAATTTGTCTGCCTTGAAGGCACTAATGTGCAGCTGCATGGATGGTAATCCCATCTGTCCAGTGCAAACTGCAGAAGAGGATCATGCTGAAATGTGGTTAAAACAAGCTTTAGCTGTGACTGCTGCATGTTTCCACCAGGCATAGTGCTCTGGGGAGATAAGCAGTACACTGTTCTTTCTGGGCAGCGTTGCAGGAGAAATGCTGGAAAGGGTGTTCAGGCTGTGCTTGGTGTGGACTAGATACCAAGAGGTGACAAGGCAGGGGGGAAGAATCTGAATCTCCTTAGAGTTGATTAGTTGCTCCTGGGAAACAAAGTACAAAACTAAGGATTTCAAAACTGGGCAATAAATTTGTAATTTAGAGATATCAGTAGATCATTTTATCTGGGGCTAGAATTGACAAGACAGTGGCCTAACAACTGGCTTTGGCATCTGAGTAATAGTGCTGGAACTGGAGGAACAAGTCCCATACAACAAGTGGGATCAGAAGGGATTTTGTGCCCCTGGAAATGCCGCATTTAACTAATGGTGTGGATTTAGCTTGTTTCTCATTGCATAAAATAGATTGACATTTTTCAGCTTTCCAGGCCTTATTTTCCATTAACCACTAATGAGGGGTTGAGGAGAAATCATCATCCAGACGTCAACAAATGCTGTTGGGGGAGGTGTTCATATTTCACAGAATCACACAGGATCACAGAAAATGCTGAGCTGGAAGGGACCCACAAGGATCATCGAGTCCAACTCCTCGCCCTCCACAAGACCATCCCCAAGATTCACACCAATGTGCCTCAGAATATTGTCCAAACACTTCTGAACTCTGTCAGGCTTGGTGCTGTGACCACTTCTGGTTAACGTTTGAAAAACTGCCGGCTGCCGCGGCCCCTCGGTGTGAGCAGGGCTGATCTCTGCCCTCCGGGCAGGCCGGCTGGACGGGCAAGGGGAGGCCGCGGAAAGCGTCGGGGGCTCCGCTCACCCTTTCCCCCGGTCATCCATCCCCTGGTAGCTGCCGGGGGCCGGACAGGGACTCCGCCAAGGGAGGGGGCCTCGGCCCGCGGAGCAAGAGCCCGGCGCTGTGGTGGGGGTCGGGGACTCCCTCGAGCCCGGGCCAGAGAGCCCCGGGGGGATGCGCCGGTCCATCGGGGAGGTCGGCGCGGTGCCGGGGCGGGGGGCGCTGGCCCGCTGTCCCTTCCGGGGGCGGTGCCGCGGGCGGAGGCCCCAGCCGGGCTGCAGGGAAGCGCCCGCCCCTGCCGCCCCCGGCGCGGTAAGATGGCGGCCGCGGCTCAGGCGCTGAGCGGCACCGGGCTGCTCCTGGCCGCCGCCGCCCTCGCCCTCCTGGCCGTGGCTATCGGCACCGACTCCTGGTACGAGACGGACGCGCGGCGGCACCGCGAGCGCTGCCGCGGCTTCGGCCACAAGCGCAGCGACCCGCCCGGCTCCATGTCGGCGCCCAGCTCGCACCTGCCGCTCCGCGCCCGGCCCCCGCGGGCGCTCCTGCCCGGGCGGCCCCCGGCCCCCGCCCCGGCCGCCGCCGCTTCTGCCGCGCTGGACTCGCACTGCGGCCGCCGCTTCAACTCCACCGTCTCGGGGCTCTGGAGGCGCTGCCACCGCGCGGGCTACGAGCCGGACAGCGAGGAGCTCATCCGGAAAGGTGCGTGGGCGGGGGGCGGTGGCGGCCCCGCCGCTGTCCTTGGTGCTGAGCGCGGTGCCGGCGCGGCCCCGCCGGGGCGCAGGGTTTGCGGGTGGGGCAGCGGCTGCCGCTGCTGGGGCGAGGACGGGCCGGTGGGAGAGGGCGGACGGAGACCCGACCAGCCCCTTGGCTCCGGGTGTCCCTGGCGTGCGGGAAGCGGCGAGCGCGGCCCCGACCCCATCCCGGGGTTTTGTGCGCCTCCCTCTCTGCTTGAAATGCTGCAGTGCTGGGTGGAACCACGTCCTCGGAGAGCCCCTTCGGGGGCCCAGTGCAGGGCCTGACTCTCGAGCGTGGTCTCGGTGGGCGTCCTCCTACTCCTGGCACTTTCTTCTTATGGAGTGCTGAGAAATGTGCAGTATTGTTCATAGTGCTGTGATTTTTACAGCAAGGTGAAAGGGACCTGTTGTTTCTGTTTTAGCAGCGGGAAGTTCTCATTGCTGCAGTAGATTGCCAGGCTTTCATGGTGATGGATGTCACTCAGGGTCCCCAGGGTGACAGAAGAGAAAGCTAGATCTACTATTGTGGCACGTGCTGCTAAGCCAAGCAGGCCATGAAGTACGAATAAAATTCCTAAATTCGATTGTACAAATAATGTAGCAGGCTAAGCCATTAAGCCAATGGGTTATATATGGTTAATAGATAGATAACCATAGATAGATAACAGGATTTACTGTTCCAGCAGGTGCATATTAGCACAGGAAGAAGAGGAATTGGAAGAAGTGCTTCCATTGAGGCACAAAATGGAAATGCTATCTTAAGAAAACAAGAGCAGTTCTTCAGCTTGGCTTCCAACTGTGACGCCAGTCCTGCACAGCAGAGGCTGGATAGACTGGCACTGTGAATCTCAGCTCACCTTTACCCCTTCTTTCCAATGCACAGCAGTGACTTTTACTTCTAGAAAGTCTAGTGCTGTGTGCTTAGCTTCTTTCTCCATTTAATCTCCTAGGTTTCTTTTTATGCGTTTTCATTTTTTAATTTCCATGTTGAGCTCCTTTCACTAAAAGGCAGCTCTTTAATTTCTTCCTATTAATTATAGCTGTCATGTAAAATATTTATCTATCGTTTTGCTTCACATCAAGCAAAATGCTTTCAGCTCCCATTGAGATTAGCTAAGATGGGGGGAAGAAATGGGGGAAATACTAGTTTGGTCCTCAGTATTTCTGTTTCACAGGTGTTTTTCCAACACCTCAACAGTCAGACAAAGAGGCTTGAATCTGCTTTCTATGTGCACGAGGGCATTACAGGGTGGTGAATGGTCTTCCTCAGGGTCTGATGTGTAAAACTGTAACGTCTCTAAATCTAAAAGGTTTTCTTTATTTCTTTTTTTTTCCAGCTTTCCAGACCTTGCCTTTCCCTACAAGCCTTGCTTCCTTCATACTCTTTGCCTATTAGGTCTGCACTTGCTACTATAATGATTTATATGTCATCGTATAGAGGAAAATTATTAATAACAGTTTTTGTAGAATCAGATCTTTAAATAGATATGACTCTCTTATCCCTTCCCCTGACCTCCTTTACTAGCAGCCTTTCCTTGTTCCTGCTGTGTCTGTCTTTTTCTCTGACAACTGTGATTAAGCAGCCTTTTCCAACTGACGGTCAGGTGTGGCTGCGTCTGAGCTGTTCTCTCTAGCATGGTACCAGATCTGGGCCTTCCAAAAAGAAAAAAAACAGGTGTTTTTTCTCTGGTGTGAGCTGAAGATCGCTATCGTGTACCTCTGAAAGTCCTACTTCCTCCTTGATTTGCATTAGGTTTTCAGCTAGCTCTTTGGTGATGTGTGATATCTTCTTATGCTCCTAGTATTTCTTAATTTATAAATTTTTATAGGCTTTTAGTGACAGAGGAGTAAATTTTTTTCTCACACTACTGTGGTAATTTTGGTTTGGGTTTATATTCTCCATTTTTCTTAGTCTCTCTGGAATAAGATTTCTTTCTGTCTCTCTCTTGAATTCTGAATAAATTACTAAGTCCATAAATACTCTTATCCATTTAGATAATTGGATGGATTTTCAGTCCTTTATTTATCTACTGCTATTAATACAAAGAAGTTCCATGGAAACTTTCATACTTGAGCATTGTAGCTAATGATGCATATGCATACATCCATTTATGTATCTAAAATAATTATTTTAAAAAATATATTTACTTCATATGTTTAAAAGGAAAAGGCAGAAGTCAAAAAATGTAGCTCAAAACTGAGAGGTGGGAGATGTTTAAACTTAAGACGAGAACGATGTGTGAGATTTTTCTTAAAACGCAAAATCACCATTTTGGAACTGTGGAAAAA